TTCTAAAGAAACATAGGAAACAACAGGCTTCTCAGGAGAAAGAACAATTCAATCCAAAGTAGCACAGTGTGGGGAGTGGGCCCCAAGGCCAGGACGAGCTGACCAGCCCCTCCAGGAATGTCAGGTCCAAAAAGGAGAGGGATGGACAGGTGGTCGGATTTCAGGAGAAGTCGGCTAGGAAAACCAATCACAATATAGTTTGGAGGTAAAATAGTTTGGATTCTCAGCCAGTTGCGAAGCCCTGTGTCATCTCCTCCACTTCCGCCACTGTACGGCTTAGCTCTTTCCCTGAGTCCTACCTGTCAGGTGCTTTGCGAATCCTTTCAACAAACTTAGATCTTGGCCTTTACCCTTAGCTCCTGTCCAGTGTCTTTAGTCATCACTATTAGGAGCCCTCATCACTCTTGTATTCAGTAAATAGCTGTTGAGTTAGGTATAGGGTACACATCCTCACAGACTGACAGGATGCCCACTCACATGGAGTCCAGTCCTATTTTTCTTTTTTGGTGGGACTGGATTTGAACTCAGGGCTTTGCTCTTACAAAGCAGGCGCTCTACCCTTGAGCCACACCTCCAGTGTATTTTGCTCTGGTTATTTTGGAGATGGGAGTCTCGTGAACTATTTGTGTGTGGTTTGGCCTGGAACCTCAGTCTTCCTGATCTCAACTTCCCAAGTAGCCAGCATTACAGGTGTGAACCACCGGCTCCACCCTCCAGTCCTATTAAAGGCAACAAATTAGTGAACAGATTACATAAGATAATTACAATTTGGATTAATCATGTGATGAAAATAAATGAGGAGTTACAGTCGAAAGGAGCATGGACTGGAAGACCTGTAGTATGTAGGTTGGCACAGAAGTTCTTTTTTTTTTTTTTTTTTGCAGTACTGAGCTTGAACTTGGGGCCTACACCTTGAGTCACTTCATCAGCCTTTCTTAGTGGTGGGTTTTTTCAAGATAGGGTCTCACAAACTATTTGCTCGGGCTGGCTTTGAACTGTGATCCTCCTGATTTCTGCCTCTTGAGAAGCTAGGATTACAGGCGTGAGCCACCAGCACCCAGCCAGAAGTTCTTTCTGTGAAGGCAAGATTTCTTGCCACTTGAAGGAGGATTAGAGTCAGCCATGCAAGGATCTAGAAGAAGAGTATTCCAGGCAAAGGGAAGAGATACACACAAGAGAAAAAAATCTTCCAATGCTGAGACAGGGGAGACTAGCATCAAAGAAAACCGGCGAGGGAACAGGGGCAGGTCTGCAGTTAAGGTGAATGGAGCATGACAGCACTGGTGGATTTTTGTAAATAGGGTGTGATGTAGATATGATTTATCTTGTTAAAGATGGTACTGGTGACTGTGTGAAGAATGCAATAGAGCAGGCAATACCTGAAGGACTTCCTGATTATGTCAGCAAAAAGAGACTGATTTCTACCCACCTCAGCTTGTCACAGGATGGGCTGAACCACCCAGATCATGGAGCAGTTGTCCATCTTACTAAGAGAAATAGTTCTCATAGCAACAAAGACAACACTTCCAGTCCGTACAGATCCAGCTTGACATGACTACAGCCATCTTGGTTGTAACTACCGCCTTCACTGCCAGATGACCCAGGCACATATTCCAAATCCTACAGATCAGGGCTCAGGGTATAGCTAGCTCAGTGGCAGAGCACATGTTTATCAAGCTTTATGGGGTTCAATTTCCAGTCCCCCCCATAGTGTAGTAACCATAAGGACAAAGCCATTAAGACAGTCACCTGAGACTTTTGTGCTGGCCTCTGAATTCAGGACTACTTCTAAACCGACACTTAGCATGTTAACCCCTTTTTTTAATGAGGTCAGGAACATTCTGGTTGGCCATGGGCTGCCTTTCTTAGCACAGCATAGAAATGCCTCCTTCCTCCTTGGACCTGGGGGATGCCCTGCTCCCTGCTACACAAAACACGCTTCTGTCTGTAAGGCCCTGGAAAATTGAGCTTTGTGTAATCCCTGGTTTGTTTGCTTTGTTCTTTGGTCTGTCTTGGAAACCTGTTCTCATACACCAGGTTTTCCAAAACACTGTCTCTTACCCCTGTTGACGGATAACAAAAGCATTCCCTTGATACTTGGCTTTTGTTCAGAGTGTGTCTTTTCATTTTATTGATGTTGTACAATGTGGCCATTTGTCAAAATGTCAGGGGCCATTATCTCAAGAGCTCTGGGTCCTAGGAAAGCCACTTCCTCTTGTGGCAGAGCATGAAGTGTCTTTCTATTATAGCCCTGCTGAAATTCCATGTCTTTTCCTTAAGAGAAGCGTCTAAGCCAGAGCTTGGCGAGGAGTATTCTACGCTTTATTTCTTGCCTCGTTTTCTTTGGAATCTGTCAATGTCAAGAGGTTTTGTTGGTGGTGTTGTTAGTTGTTACTGTAAAAATGTACTGAACTTTGGGTTGAGAAAACTGGCTTTTCTGAAGAGAAAGTGATTTTTTTTAAAAAAGAGGTTGTGGGAGTCTGTGTCCTGGTTGCAAAAATAGCGAAATCAGGCCTTTCAATTAATTCCCTACTTAGAATTTAGTTAGTTCTTGCAAAGCTGTCTTGACTGGCTCACCTGGATGCAAACCCACTTATTTCCAATAGAAAATCATCTCAGACTTTTGAGATGGAATGTCTCACCCACAAACAGCTAGAGGTGGGGGAAGGAGGGCTAATTGAAGCACATTGAATAAATAGAAGAATGGAAATGGGCATAATTTCCTGCCCCTGAATTAAAAGCTGATTCAACCAAAAATACATTTCAACATCCTTATATTAAATAACACAGGGCCAGACATCAAACATAGCTGCTTGTTCCAGAAATGCTGGCTCCTAAAAGATAAAACGATGAAGCAGGTTGGATGGATTCTTATTACGGTTTGCCTCCAGTTCTGGATGCAGTGGTGCAAACTGTAATCCCAGCTACTTGGGAGGCTGATGCAGGAGAATTGTGAGTTCAAGGTCAACCTGGGTCTTATTTAAAAAAGAAAAAAAATGCTGCCCAGCACTGGTGGCTTAGGCCTGCAATCCTAGCTACTTGGGAGACTGAGATGGGGAAGATCAAGGTTCAAGGCTAGCCTGAATAAATAGCTTGTAAGACCCCCATCTCCAAAATAACCAATAAAATGGACTGGAGGCATGACTCTCACAATAGGATGCCTGTTTTGCAAGCACAAAGCTATGAGTTCAAACCTCAGTCATATCAAAAAAAAAAAGTCTTTTAAATCAGCCCCACCACTCTACCCTGTAAGTACTCTTTGCTGAAGAAAGGGATCAAAATATATCACTCCAAAATACCTTGGATTATTTTGAGCAGAAACAATTGAGGATCAATAGATTTAGCAAGAGTTACTCATCTTCCCTTCTCTGCCTGAAAGCAAACTACATTTCTCTCTGGAAGAGGTCCCCACTCCCACTCCATACAGAGAGAGAGGAGTGAGTGACAAACAGACCTTGCTAAAATGCCCTTGCCTTCTAGACTTCACTCTGTAGATCTTCTGCTAGCTTGCTCACGATTTATTGCCCTTTGAAGCTGAACCTTCTTTTCTTTGTTGTGAAAGGGCAGATAAGCCCCTGAGAAACACGTGTTTCTTAGAGTTTTAGCATTTTTTCCCCTTTGAACAGCCTTGCATATAAATATGAATGAAATTGTGGGTTTTTTTTTTCTGCTTATCTTTTTTGGTTAGCACTAAACCTAAGAGGATAAGAAAAACGTTTGCTTCTTGACACTGATTTCTTCATTTTGAGAGACTACCAGGACTTCACCAAGATGGTGTTCTTTGGCTGGATATTGTGGCTCAAGTGGTAGAGCACTTGCTTAGCAAGCCTGGGGCCCTGAGGTCAAACCCCAGTACTGCCCAAATAAAATAAAATAAGATAAAATTAGTTTAAAAGATAGTGTTCTCCTTTATTGCCACAAATCTAATAAACCTACCTATGACTGACCAGCTAGTTTTATCAGAGGCCCGTGTGTGTGCATGTGTGTGTGTATGTGTGTGTGTGCTTCTGGGAATCAAACCCAGGGTCTTAGGCAAGTGCTCTGCCACTGAACCACAGTGGCAGTACAGTGGTGCTGCCACACCTTTGGCGGTACTTGGGAAATCAATAGCTTATATATACTGTGTGTGTGAGTGTCCAGCAGAAGTGCAGCAAAGCCTCCACCAGTGGGAGTGTGCTCGCTCACTATGTGCAACACCTCTCAGTTCTATCCCCAGCACCAAAACAAAACAAACAGCCCAACAAAATGCAGTAGTCTGGCCAGGTGTGGTGATGCATACCTATAATCCTAGTACTTGGGGGGCTGAGATCGAAAGTTCCATGCCAGCCTGGGCTACGAACCAACACTGTCTCAAAAAAAAAAAAAAAGTGCACTGTCCAAATAGTTTGGTTGCATAATTGAAGATAATAAATTCTCTTGTGATCAAGTTTCTATTTCTGTTATGCTTACTACATTTATAATCACAAACTGCCTTACACAATGCTCAAAGTGCATTCTATGAAAAACATTACAAGGCACACCGATTGTGGAAACTGTCACCGTTCCTCATCTCTCCCTCTAGTAATGCTTCTTGGCAGCTCCTTCCCTAAAGAAATGGGGTTGGTTTCCACTGCCCCTCAATTCAGGCTGGCCTACTGACTTACTTTGGCCAAAGAAATGCAACACAAACCAAGGTGTGCCAGCTCTTGCGTAGGCCTCAAGACAGCCTTTCAGCTTTTGTTCTTTCTTTCCTGAACCCCTGGGTCTGTTACCGAACAAACCCATCATGTCAAAAAGACCAGCCTACATCAGAACTACCTGCCCACCCAACCTACACCCAACACAGGTATATGGTAAGCCTGACTGCCCAGCAGAATCAGCTGACCAATAGACTCTCCAATGTCTACTATTTGGGTCATTGAGTTTTGTAGCTGTTATGCAGCAGAGCTCACTGACACAAATTACACGGCATACTTTAATCCTTACAACATCTATTTCTCTCTCTTCTTCCTATCAAACAGATTTCAAGTTTGGTTGAGAAGCTGTGACCTCAGTGAAGGTAGTTAGTGACCCATGACATTTCCTTCCACTGCTAGCCAAGGTGGGACACGATTCAGCCTTGTTAGATGGGACCATCCCTTGGGGTCAACCAAGGTACCCCTCAGAATTCCCATATCAAGGTACAGAGTTTCATACATGGAGCCAACAGGAGAAACATATGGCTGAATGAGGGCGGGTTAAGTCACGTCAACCTGTTTTAAATGACAGCAGGAGAGATGAGGTTTTTTTAATCTATTGGGAGAAAAACGCAGTGCCTTGAATTCCGTATCTGCTCTGAATAAATTCCCCGAACAGGTGAATAATATAGTGTCACCTCTTCACCAGACCACTCACCAGAACAACTGATATACTTCTTTGAATTCTGGAAGAATACTCTCATCACGTAAGAAGATACAGCACGATCACTGTGTGTTTGATGAATAACCCTCCGGAATAAACTGTGTCTTTCTTGCCGGATGAAACAAACCGCAGTTCGGCTGCAGTCGAATTGGACGTGGGTTGCGAGAACCACGGCCGAATGAGCCCTGGCTCCGGAGTGACCTCTTGACGTGGAAGGGCCTCCCTCTTGCTTACCTCCGTGTCTTATATGCGCTTTTCTTTTGAACGCTATTGTTTCGTGGGCCGCGTGGTGGCGTCTGTCATACCATAATATTTTAGTACCAGAATTCTTAGCAGTCTTATGTTGTTTTCAGTGACATAGGAATATGAGCAAAGTTCATAACAACTGACTCTGACACAGTGGGCTAACAGTATACTCCGCTCATTTGAAGTTCCTGGAATGATGCGCTCTCCTTCCCCTCTCCTCAATGAGTTCTCATTTTCCCCCTTTGTGTTGTTCGCGGGGCCGAAGATGCTAAGCCGCAAAAAGTCTGATTGCGATCCTTCCCTCTCACATATCTATAGCATACACAGAGTCTGTCGCGTGTGTCCCTCCTATGTATGTCATGTTCCAGCGAGCGAGGGACTGATTGCATAACTCCTTCTCTTCCTACGGACTTCTCCTCCTTTTGATCCGATTTATCAGTAACATGGAATAGTTGCTGGATACTTATCCTTTCTCAGCCCCTACCTCTACAGCGGACCTCCAGGTTTTGCTCTGCCTCTTTGCCATACTTGCTTCTACTTGTTTGTCGCATGTGTCCTCTCTCTGAGTCCTTGTCTGAATGCAAAGTTTAAAGTGAGCTATTTTTACATTCCTGGCCGAATGCATGACACTTCTGTCACTAGTTTCTTCAGAGTTCACAACGTTGGCCCAGCTATTTGATAATAATACTTACTGTTTCAGCAAGAATCTGTTTTAGAGGCGTGAGACGCTACATGGTGCGTACATGCCTTGTAATACCAGGTCTTGTGGATACAGAGGCAGCTAGAATGACCCAGGTGCCTCAGCTCCATCCTCGTTATCTCAGAGTAACAAAGTAGACTTGCCTACGTGTGGGCCATCAGTGGACTCTCAATGCTGCAGTTAATCCTGGGAGTGTGTGTAGCGGAGTGCTAGATCCGGATCACAGATGTTGAAGCCGTCCCAGCGAACTAGGTGAGACGCCGTATCTCAACAAAAAACCAACACATAAATTGGTACTGGTCGAGGTGGCCCTCATTTGACGTTAAGAGCTCCCTTCAGCCTAGTCAGACGTATGTGACGACCGGCTGAGTCTAGGACGGGCCTCGACCGAGTTATACAAAGACTAACACAACCATAATGCGCCTATAGGTTCATGTGAGTGGCACCTGTAATCCTAGCTACTCAGAGGCAGAATTCAGTAAAGCGTTGATCACTAGTTTCGAAGCCTTAGCCTGGCAAATAGATCACGTGAGGACCCATCTCTCAAACAAAAAAAAAAAAACCCATCACACAGTGTTGTGGAGTGGGCTTCAAGTGGCAAAGCACCTGCCTAGCAAGCATGAAATTCAGCTCAAACCCCAGTACGACACAAAAAAATCATGAAAAAGGGCTGGTGAGTAGGCTCAAGGTGTGGCCCTAAGTTCGAACCCCAGTATTGCAAAAAATAAAAAAAAGGGCTGGTGAGTGACTCGAGTAGGAGTGCCTGCCTAGCAAACAGAGGATCCTAAGCCCTGAGTTCAAACCCCAGTACCACAAAAAAACAAAAACAAACAAACAACAAAAAACCAAAAAAACAAACTACATAAACAAAAGGGCTCAAGTGGTAGAGTGCCTGCCCAGCATGAGGGAGGTCCTGGATACAATTCCTCCTGCCATAAAAAGTAATATAGTTTAAAGAAAAAATTGGAAGTGCATATGACATAAGTTCCTATACACTGTGTACCCCAATTCCCATACAATTATCTTATGTTGCCTGACACATCTGTTACAATCAATGAATCAATATAGATTCATTACTTTTTTGTGTTGTGGGTTCACTAGGGTTTGAACTCAGGGCCTACACCTTATCCACTCCACTAGTCCTTTTTTGTGATGGTTCTTATGTTTTGAGATAGGGTCTCACAAACCATTTGCTTGGGCTGGCTTTGAACCTGATCCTGTGGTGTGCTCAGGCAGTGTAAAAACCTCCACTATTACTTGTGTCTTCATTTGGCATTTGGGGCAATGGTTAGACCTGACATGTGGAACCCCAGGAGTTTGGGCCTGTGACCTAAAACTTTGGTTTCAATAACTATATTTTATTTTCTTTTGGTCAGTAGCTTTGAACTTGTGATCCTCAACTCAGCCTCCCAAGTGCTGGACTTGCAGGTATAGGAACCCACACCTGGGTTTGATGATAGTTGTAAGCAGTACAGTCAGGGGCTGCAGAGACGCTTATACACTGGAATGCCTGCCTTGAAGCGCAAAGTCCTCAGTTCAAACCCCAGTACTGGGCTGGGATGTAGCTCGGTGTACAGCGGCTTGCCTAGCATGCGTTTGAGGCCCTGGGTTCGATCCCAGCACCAAAAAAAAGAAAAGACAAAACCCCAGTACTGCCCCCACTCCCACCCTCAAAAAAGTACTGGTCAGGTAGTTTGTGGAATGTCCATCTATTGGAAATTGTCTGATGTTTTCCTACAGTTAAACTTCCTCGAGATTATGGTAGGAATATAGGTATGATGCTATTTTAATATATCATGTCAAGGATTTGAACTCAGGGCCTATGCGCCCCCCCCTTTTTTGTGAAGGATATTTTTGAGATAAGGTCTTGTACAGTATTTGCCCAGGCTGGCTTTGGATGGTGATCCTCCTGATCTCTGCCTCCTGAGTAGCTAGGATTACAGGCGTGAGCGACAGATGTGTTTTTAAATGTAATCACTTATTTAAATATCTGTGAGTCAGCGTGGACTCACAGATACTTAAAATAAACAACTTTTCAATTGAAAATCACGCTGGATTAAAAAATCACACTGAGAATAAGGAGGATGCAGTGGGGAGGTTGGTTTGGTTGATAAACCTTTCACCAAATCATGAGTGAACATTTTGTTTCCTTTTTGTATGTGGTGCTGGGGATCAAAAACTGATCTTATTTTCACAGAGCAAGTCTGGTATTCAGAAATACAAGTATCGAGTAATGTTTAGACTTGCTTTTAGGGCTGGGGTGTAGCTTAGTGGTAGAATGCTTGCCTAATATACACAAAGACTGGTTTGAACCCCAGCTCTGGAAAAACAAACCAAAAACCACACAAAAACAAAACCTATGAATACATAGACAGCACTGATTTCATGACAGATGATGTTTTGTTTTCTTTCTTTCTTTTTTTAATAAAAAGGGTTATTCATTATTTTTTGGTGGTACCTGGGTGCACTCAGGGCTTCACACTTGCTAGGCAGGTGCTCTGCCACTTGAGCCACTCCCCAAGCTTGTTTTCTTTCCTTCCTTCTTCTCTCTTTCCCCTCTCCTTTCTCCCTTCCTCCCTTCTTCCCTTCCTCCCTTCCTTCTCTTCATTTTTTTTTTGGCAGTACTGGGATTTGAACTCAGGGCCTTATGCTTGCTAGGCAGGTGCTCTTACCACTTGAGCAACTCTGCCTGACCCCTTCATTTTTTTTCTTTCCTAAGGCAGTCTTGCTATGCGACCAAAATTGGCCTGGAAATTGTGATCCTCCTGCCTCAGCTTCCCAAGTGGTGAGATTGCACCATCCATTTTCTCCCTAGGCGCTTGCCTTTCCATCTGGTGATTGACTGACTGAGAGCATGTTATGTGCTCTGATAATATACTAGAGGTTGGGATCTTCCAGAATTCACCTTGTTTCTGACTTAGGAGCTCTAGGTTGGCTTTCAAGATGGCTTACGGTTAAGTCAGCTTTGGTGGCTCTAATTCTTCCAAGAGAAAGAACAAGGATGGTTAGCAGACACACTTGGGCTCCCATCCTGGTTTTGGTTCAAACCCCAGTACCACCCTCCCCCCACAAAAAAGAAAAAGCAAATTGATCCCTAACAATCTCCTCTCTTGAGAACTTGCAGAACCTCTTCTTGTACCTTCATGCAAACCTGTAACCAGTGGGGTCCATGTTTGACAGCCACCATCCAGTCAGGGGTAGAATCATAATAAGGGACATTCTACAAAGTCATTGATCAGTGCTCCTCAAAATATCAGTCACTGTTGGCAGTGTGGCTCAGTGGCGCAACAAGTGCTCAGCATGGGTGAGGCCCTGTGTTCACGCGCACACACACACACACACACACACACACACACACACACACACGGCAGTCATGAATAATAAAGGAAGACCTAATGTAAGGGGGGCAATGACAGAGGTGACTCCATTTTGGATGACAGAGGCAGTTTAAAAGCAGATATCTAAGGAAGCTGGGAAATAACAGGTTTCTCAGAGAAAGAACAAGCCTTCACCAAAGTAACAAGACGCAACTGCCCGATAGGGAGTGGGCCCCAAGGCCAAGACGAGCTGACCTCCTGGAATGTCCAGTCCGATCAGGAGAGGGATGGACAGGTGGTTGGATTTAATGAGAGAATGACTAGGTGCCAACCAATAACAAATATAGGGTAGTTGGACCTCAGCCAGTTAGTGCCCTATGTCATCTCCTAAGCGTCAGCCTTTCTTTGGCTTAGCTCTTTCACTCAGTCCCACCCACTGTCAGGGAGCTTTGCGATCCTTTCAACAAACTGTGCTTGCTTTAACTCTTTACTCCTGGTCCGGTATCTTCAACTGGTGACAATGCCAGTTGATACAACCATCTTGTATCACTAGGAACTGCCACAAATTGGAGGAGACCAAGAAGATATAACGAAATGCAGAGCTTGGTCTTAACTGGATCCAACAATAACAATGATTTTGAGCTGATGGCATTTGAGCTCCTGCAATCCCCCAAAATGTAGAGCCTCCTAAAGAAAGAGAATGAAACAACAGAACACAAAAGAAACTCAATTGTGTTGGCACCCCACCCAGTCAAGACCCTCCTACCTCATCTGTTCTCTCAGAAGTCCATTTATCTTCCGGAACTCATTGGTTTCTCCACAAGTGTCCTTTCCCTCTTCACCTATCAAGATGGCAGGAGTATAACGCCCAATGCTGATCCTTTCAGTCACATTTTTTCTGTGGACTTCCATGTACATACCTACGTACATGAATATAAAAATCTATCTTTTCTCTTGCTAATTTGTTTCATATCACTTTAAATGGCAGGATCCCAGTCATTGAACCTAAGAGAATAGAGGATTTTTGTTGTGGTTTTGTCCTAAAAGTCAGAGAAAGACATTAGTGGAAAAACTGGCAAAATTAAATGTCTGCTGCAAATCATCTGTGGTAATTTCTTGGTTTTGATCATTGTTACGAAAGCTCTATAAGATTTGATATTAGGGAAATCTAGGTGAAAGTTGTGCAGGACTTCTTTGCATTATTTTTATAAATTATTTCAAAGTTAAAAAGTTAGAAACAAAGCAAAACTCCAGCAACAACAGCATCAAAGAGCAAAGGCTTTTCCCTTTTACGTTTCTGTTTTGCAGTGCTGGGGATCGAACCCATGATCTTATGTGTGCTAGACAAGCACTTTACCAACTGAGCTGAGTCTCTGGTCCTCGGTGCATAAATCTGGAATGCAGCTTGGTCTGGATTTAAATCCTGATTCTCCCACAAAAGAGTTTTGGATGAACCTAGGGCAAGTTAAACTCAATCCTAGAGCCATTGGTTTCCTTATCCATATGTGAGGGAAGCAAACGTGAGAGGGAATAAATGGCAGAAGTGACCCTGGGAATGTAAGGGGAACAGATGGCAGAAGCAACCTTGTCTTAGATAAGGGAGACGGAGGCATCCTTGAAAGCAAACATCTAGGGAGCCATGAGGAGTGGTTTCTCACCCAGATAATAAAGCACAGCGCTCTTTCTCCTAGATAAGGAGACAGGAGAAGCTTCTTTAAGACAGGACGTTAAAGACATGAAAAAAATAGACCTCTTAAGGAAAACAGCACAGCAAACTTTCCCAAGATAGCAAACGGGGGGGCCGGGGGGGGTGCGAGGTGGAGCGGGGGGAGGGTCTCACCAAATATATATAGTATAAATAAAGAAAGCTGGGCGTGTTGAGCGCAGCTGTCATCCCAGCATCTGGGCTGGTGAGTGGCTCGAGTGGTAGTGCCGGCCTAGCAAAATAGTGAGCGTAGTCATAAATGTTCATTACAGGTCCCAAGGACAGGATGGGATAATGAGACCCTCTTGGAGTGTCCAGTCTGATAAGGATGAGGGAGGGGGGCAGCCAGATGGTTGGGTGCAGCAAGAAGTTAATTAGACAAGCCAATTACAGATGCAACTTCAAAGTGGAGTGGGAGCCTAAGTCAGGCAGAGCCCTATATTACCCCTTAGACGTCAGCCATTGTGGCTTAGCTCTTTCACTGGAGTCCCACCCGTCAGGATGCTTTGCAATCTCTTCATGCTTTACTCTTAACTCCTGGTCCAGGGCCTTCAATCATCGACTTCACCAAGATACAACTCGGGAACAGCACTCCAGTATGATGGCTGTGACAGTGACAAGGGTGACAAGAGGATGCCCCTCACAGGGATGTGGGGACACACTCATGCATGTGAAGCTGTCAGCACGTTGTAGGGATCAGCAGAATCAAAATCACTGTATCTGCTAGTTTGGCACCAGGGAGAGGCATAGGGCCCTGCAGCCAGTCTCTGCTCTTGGAGCCCCTCTGCCCATGGATGTCACCTGGCTTTAAGAAGAGAGGTTGAGCTGGTGCCCGGGTCAGCCTACAGCCTAGGTACGGGGAGGCCGAGAAGCTCAGTGCTCTGACCACTGTCTGTCTTCAGCTGACACAGCATAGTCAGGCTGCTCTTGGCCCCATTGGAGAGAAGCAAGCAGGCGTGCTGGGCTTCGTTTGACCCAATCTAGTCTATGCAGCCACAGGGAAAGGATGGTGTAAGAAAGGGACTTGGGAACCCAGAGTTGGGACTTGTCCCTGTTGGGGTCCGAGGTCGACCACCCCTCAGAGGAACAAAAGACACTCACAATAATGTAAGCCACAAAGCGAGGTTTATTTCCAGCTAGCTGGGGTCCGGGTATCTGCCCGATGCAGCGGGTTTCAACGAGGACCCCGAATGCAAAGTTCAGGCTGCTTTTATATTTTTTTAAACATTAGTCATGGTCACACAGCAATTTTTATGGCCCCTGGGGTCACATATTTCTGATATCACCCACATCCTGGTGGTGGGGCAAGACTACTTGAAGATTATTTATCAGGAACTTGATAAACACCAGGTGTCTTAACTCATTGACTCACATACCGTTCCAGCAAGATTAACCAGAAACAGTCTCTGTTCCCAGAAACCATCCCACCTCCCTTTGTGGTGGCTTGGGTCATGTTAGTCATGGCCGGTGTCAGGCTGAGTGGGCTGCAAGCCTCGAAGGTGCCCTAACATCCCCAGACTCAGAAGTTCTTTTGTCTCTGTCACTAATATATTCAAATGTCCTTTTGAGCAAGTAGGCTAGGCAGTTGGCTAAAATTAGTATAGCTAGGACAGAAGGATCCCTGAAAAAACTCTTATATGACCTCCCTGTGACCTTCAAAGACAGAAAGAAAAGCAAGACGGACAAGAATGAGGACTAGTAGGCATTTTAAACCCTCACAGTTTAAAGGACACAACCCATCAGAACTTTGTGGGCACAGCCAATGGGAATGCTGCTTTCTGCACACCGAATTAGCATAGAGATTGAGCAATGCTCTGGGGTAAATAGATAAAAATTCAAGACCACATCACTTCACTGGCAGCCCATTTGGGACTCTTCCCTGTCTCCTGTGGGAGCTTTGTCCTTCCTCTTAATAAGATTCTCGCCTATGCACCTACTCTCTGTTGGAACTGCATTATTTGCGTTCATGAGACAAAGAACTCAGCATGAATCAGGAAAACTCTGCCACCGAGCTAAGAACTATTGTAAGAGGCACTCAAATTGCTTTTGCTGAAAAGCACTGACTCCTTTACTTAGACCCACAAATTAACTAAAAACAGGAGAAGCTTGGCATCACTGCCTCCGTTTTGTATCTGTCTTTGCTCTAAGCCATTCTCTTTATAGTCACTTTGCAATGACCTTGGATTCCAGAAAGGATAGAACTGATAACACCTTTGTGACAAGGGACTGAAACGTCCCATAAGGAACAGTGGAGCCTGGCAGGACAGATGCCCCTCCAAATGAGGACAATGACCTGTAATGATGAGGCTGCACCCTGGAGCAGAAGCAATCATCTCATGGGAACCAGATTGCTCCCCTCAAGTGATGACAGCAATAACATCATCTCTGGAACCCCTCTGGGAACCCTTGGACTAAGATAATGGCCAACCAGAACACACCTGTGACTGGAACTGCTGAGGTACACCTTTGTCCCCTACCCCCAGTTCTTTTGTCTACTTAAACCTATAGCTCAAGTCTGTACCCCAAAGATGGCTGAAGATGAGCTGAGTGCTTCCTTTGCCTCTTCCCATGGCATGTCCTGAGCTATGTAATAAACCTCCTTTCTCTGTCTTCACCAGGCCCCTTTAATTGGTTTAGGGGTGGGTGGCCGGACTTGGGATGTGGAATCTTAGGAGTTTGGGCCTTGGGTCCAAAACTCCATTTCACTATGACCTAACCAGCACAGCAGACCCTGATCCCACAAGATTCCAATTTTGCTTTTGTCATGTGCACGAGATGTCACGGGGGAATCCATGGACACACTAATTGGGGTCTTGCTCTCAGGACACTCTCAGGAATGAGAGGCTGGAGCACCAGAGTTAGAGGCAGGAAAGAAATTTTATTGATAACAATGGCTGAGCAAATGGACAGATGCGCAGCGGGGTCTAGAAACCGGGTGCCCCCTGAGTGCTGGAGTAGGGGATATATATAGGTAAGGCTTCTGCCCTAACCTAAAGAACAGTTCGTAGTGGAATCCTATGGGTCCATTCTTGGCATGTGTGGGTCTCCTGTACCTCCTGGTCATCTGGCCGGCCGAGCTGGTTCCTTGCTTCTCCCAGGTTGTGGGGGGCTTCTGCATTCCTAAGATGTCATGGGGCTGATTTATGTTACAAACTGCTACACTTTGATTGTCTATGAGTGTGAAATGCAAAGGGAACTGAGTCAGGAAATTTAGACTCTACTTTGAGGAGTTAGGAGACCTTAGGCAAATCAGCAGCCTTTTCTGGACCTGGAGGAGAAGGGACACCAAAAAATATTCATTAAATCATTTGCTTTTGGATTCTTGTCACTGAACGAGCTACACAGTTCTGTGAGGTGGATATGACAGGAATACACAAACAACCGTGCTGTCAAGAGTAACGTCAGCAAGTCTGTTCTGACTCATCCCATGTGCTAGGTGTGGGAATTCAAAGTGCCTAGATTCATCTTTAGCCATTTAATGTCTAGAGAGGAAGAGAAATATGCTGTAGCGGGTACCTGAACTTGACTCCTTACTTGAGAAAAGCATGGCATCCCAACCTCCATTTTGTATGCGTGTCCTTTGCTCTGAGCCATTCTCTCCTGTAGTCACTTTGCAGCCATCTTGTTATCCAGGAAGGATGGCTTGAAATGATGATTCTCAGGCCTCAGACTTCTGAGTGCTGGGATTGCAAGCAGCACCACCAAGCAGGGCCATTAATTTCAATAGCCATGTTCACCTGTTCATGCATTTGCACAACAAGGGGAGAGTTGAACAGTTGTGACCCACCAAATCTAAAATCTTACCACTTGTCTCTTCACAGAAAATGGTCACCTACCATTGATCTATCACATTGATTATGATGATAAAGTCATAGACAGATATAAAATTTAAAAAAACCTTTTCCTAGAGTTTTAAAGC